GGTGGTAGTCGGAAAATACAACTTAAAATATCCTGCGAACAATACTTCATTGTAATTAATTTAAGAAACTCATGCATCAATCATCAGTCATTTTGTGGAATTGCATTTATTGTTAAGGTAATCTTCTTAATTCAATTATCTACTTATTTTGCCCATTGCCCAATTTAATTCATTCAAACTATGGTTGAGAACCGTTCTCATGTATTATAAATAAAACATGTTCAGAGTACATGATGAATCCAGGTGTGCAAGAACAATGTTGTTTGGAAGTTGTTATGTGGTTTCGAGATTTTGGTACTTTAACATGAGTTAAGAAAATATATCGCACGTCGTTGGTAAGACAATGAGGCATTTCCTCTTTGATTTCCTGAATTTGATTCCATCTCAACAATGAACATAATAGCAATCAAAACGTGCCATGTAAAACCGCGTAACTTACGGTTTGATTTAATTGTCTTGAGCATAAATGGTTGCTTCATTGTTTGCATGAAATGCTATCTAAATGGAATTTTGGAAACAATTCATTATTTTCCAATTTGAAATGGTAAGATTTAATGAAATTCTGTTTTCAATGCAATTTAAATACAAATAAGAAATTGATTTGGACACAAGACTTGATGCTTAGATCCACGCAACGTTCAAGTGCGTCAAGCGATTGTAAACAACGAATTTTTTATCGTTATCTCGCCATTTCCAATTCAGAAAACTGAACAAAATATAAGAATATAGATAAATGTGATACAGCACATTTGCATTAAAATTGAATAACGTGTATTAGCAAGGCAGCAAGACGTATATTTTCTTATTTAATGAGTTTTTTTTTCGAAAAGTTTTTTTTTTATAGAAAATTATCGAACATTTTTCCGCGGAACTTTTCGACATAACATTTTTCCTCTAAGCCCATCATATTGTTTAAAATAATTTAACTTAAAATTTTGTACTTATATTTCAAAAACGTGCACATAGTCTAATCACGATTTGGCTGGTTTGTGCTGTCGTCTGTCGAAATTTCCCATGCTTGTGCGAATCGTAATTATTTTGCGGTAAGTTAGATCAAACGTCCATTTGTTTCAGGACTATAAAATGCTTGAGTTGCTGTGACAACATGGTAGTAGCTAATAGAAGACGTTGCAAAAGCGTGCTGTCCCCTATAAAATGTCTTTTTCTCCAACATTACCTTTTTAATGACGCACACGGCTATCATACAAATTAAACAAATCTTTAAACTGTTCGAATCAGATTACGAAGGGATGAGTCTTGCTAAACAGCCGCAAATTTGTCGAGCAATTTGTAAAAGGGTATTCATTCTTATGAAAATATAACTGTGTTTGTCATTTCTTTGAACCCAAGAATGTGCTCTGAAATTCCACTTTAAATGATGACGATAATGATTTTACATCAGATTTCGTTTTTCATTCTTGGTAAAATAGCCGGTTGAAAGCAAATAATTTTCTATTTAAGTGCCAAAAGAGATACATACCTTGGTGTACGTGGGGTGGCCTTTAGACGCGTTGAATCCATCATATGTCGTCTTTCATCTTTTTGCTGATTATTTTCGTCATTTGTGCTGTCGTCGTCTTCACGTACCGCACTATGCAAAATGGAATAAGTTTTCGAAATAAAGTTAGTTGAATGTAATTTTATTATGCAGCAACCATCTATATGCTTCTATTTCATTAGATTGTTTTGAGGCATATAGTGGTTATTTTAGCCGAATTTTGTTATACAAATTAACAAAAAGTGGTTGACGTATATTTGCAATGTAAACTTTTGAATACGAATAGTAAGCTGCGATAGCATAAATTTATGTTTGAACTATATAAGGACCTTGAAAATCTAGTTAATTCTCTGGTGATACTTACTCGGCATTGGCCATTCCAGTAACGATAATCATATGCGTCGGTCTTCTCATGATGGGCATCGGCAATGGTAATTCACCGTGTGCGGCTCGAGCCGTAAGCGACAGTGCACACAGTTTATGATGTACACCCCAGTGGTTTAAAATCACACCTATTCCGGGTAAAATGAACACCAACAATGTGTAAATTGTTAGAAAAACACTGGGCATTTGCATTGTCCCAAAATTTAGCTGACACAATGATTTCAACTCGTCATTTTTTCGAATTGTTTCGTTTGTTGCATTTACAATGGATGCAAATGGATTTGTGCTGAGAGTGCTGGATTTTATATCGTTTTCAATCAACAACTTTTTAGTCAATTCGGGCAACATTGTTTGCGCTGTGTGATTTGGTCTTGTTGAATTAACCGCTGTCTCATCATAGTATGAACTATTTTCAAGAAGAATCGGAATGCTG